ATTCCTCCTATATTTACCACTTTAAATGCATATTGCTCGCCGTTCGCTGTTTTACTAAAGCCACCCCATGGCAGTGAGCCCGGGTGCGAGGGCCCATTCATCGCTGCTTGCAGCTTTAATTTTAATTGTATTTGTCCAAAGTATTCTTTCTGTTTGGGAGTCTTCTCACAAAGCTGATAGACCTCAATACCATGAAGAGCAGCATTCAAATAAACAGGAGTCCATCAACTGACGGGCCAGGCTGGTGTGTCCTCTGCACAATCTGGTGCTGATTGAAAGAGGGCTAGATAATAATCCCCCATATTATCTGTCATTAAGTCCGTTCTGATCTCACTCCCGCATTGTCACAGCACAAGTAAGGCCATCATTCCTTTGACACTCCAGTGATTAAATATGACAATTTTAGGAAGTAGAAAAAGAGGCCAAAGGAACAGCCACTGTTGTTAAGTCTTTAAATGAGCTTTCCACTCAAAATAGTGCACTTGGCAATAAGCTGCATGCAGGTGCTTTCATTAGCGTCCATTCACAGGCAATCCGCTCCACTGGCGGCGTGAAGCATTGTGCTCTGGCGAGCACACGGAATTACATCGCTGTTTGTTTGCTGCACTCATTTAAATCCACCGAGGTGCAAGCACATGCATGCTTTTTTGTGCACATCCATTGTGAAAAGCGTGTTGGAACGTCAGTGCATTCCAGACCTTCAACTGAAGGTTTTTTTTTCTTTCCTTTGTAACGTTGTGCGTTAGAACTATCAAAACACTTCAAGGGCACTGAACTACATGCTATTTTGGCATATTTCAGCACTTACTGTATTATTGTGCAATATATCCTGCTTGGATACACTCTACATTGGCTGCTGTGTAATTACTCTCCTTACTAAGGCGTGAGACACAAGTGCTGCGTTCATGCGGAACTATTTCGGGTTGCGTGGGAGTTAGATGTGTGACAGCCCAGCATCTCCCTAAAAAGGACTTTAGAAACTCTGCTTTTCCCCAGACAACAACCAATCAAAGGCAGCCCATCAACAGTGTGCGTCAAACATGTCTGATATCTAATTTGTATTGACTGAAATTAGCATTGTGACTACGGCTGTAGATACAAGGCAATTATTGAAGGCACATTAGAGAGAAATTAATATAAGGACAATTGATTATCCCCTGTGAAAAGAAACAATGGGCTTTTCCTGCTCATTGTGTGATAAGACATTACCAGTAATAAGCAATGTTCTGTTGAAATGATTAATGGCACTTACCGTAATGTACGGTAGTTAACATCCCAATTGGACATTGTGGGGTGTGTTTGAACAGTTTTAAACAAAACTCTTGTGCATGTTGACTCGCATTTCTTTAGAAAATGTTGGGGAGAGCATATATGTTCAAACTGTGTTAAAGTAAAAACTCAAGTATGCCATCCACAAAACACAAAAACTAAATTCTGTTCAAACAGGGCTAAATTCCACGAGCTGTATTACAGTATGAATAATTGAAGAGACCGTGTTTGCTAAGAACGGTGCTTGGAATGAGTTGAGCATGTTGTGTGACCGTTACCTTGGTGATTAGCATGTGTATGAATAGGAGTTCTGTGCACTATTTGCAGAGGCAGACTACCTCTCTCTCTTTCAGGTCTAGATTGCGGCAGAGGATTTATAGCTCCACATGCTGGCGACATGTAGGAACTGCAGAAGATTTGGCATATTAACCAAAGATACGGCACTCTCACATAACATTCATCAAACCAAGATAGAATTAATATAAATTTTGTTTACTTTTGTATGATAAACCAAGGGTCACATTTTTGTTCATATGTATACATTCTTATGCTTTGCATATATATAACCATTATCGTTGTTTACTATTTCACTGAATGTTTTATCCAAAGCGACTTACTGTACACTTCTTACAGTGCCAGTCCCCCTGAGGGGTTTATGCAACCTTGATATAGTGTGTTTACATTTCAAGTGGGTATGTGATAAACTGTGGCGTTGAGACTACAGTACGCATGCTCAGAAAACTCCCTCGTGTGACTTTGTTTGACCAAGTCAAACTGAGGCCTGTTGAACCTCCATACATTGCAATTGAACTAGCCTCTATTCAGCCATAGCTTGAGTTATTGCATTGTCTTTTCCAAATGGCTCCGTAGTCAAAGCATTGTTTTATCTCCTCACACAATCACTAATATTAGGCATTAACTGCTGTCTGGAGCCTTAGCTAATAGCTTAGGGTTCTACTATGCATCTGCTTTTGTCTGCTCGTCCCTGTGGCTGCAGGCGCAAATGGTCAGATAATGCAAGTAAAAGCCACAGTGTGGTATATGCTGTTAACCTTTCTCAGCAGTCGAGATAAAGTGTGTGCTTTAGAGCACATTAGCCACAAAAACAGTCCTCGCATGGAGGGAAATAGCGCTGTCCCTTACAAGCCTATCTCTCGCTTCCTCTCTCTCTCTCTGAATTCTTGTGAATTCTGAATTCTTCTCAAGGACTTGAGCTTAATTCACCCATGTTATATTATGTTTATTTACCCAACAGAGTGCAGGGGCATAAATGGTGAGATCAAATCAAAGACAGACAAAGCCACACACACACAGAACGAAAGGACAAAAAAGGGATACAGTGCAAGGATAGGTCTTGTGGGTAACACTTTAGAATAATGGTCCGTTGTTAACAAGTAACTATGCAGGAAGTAATAGGTAGTACTACATTAACACTTAACTTAGTACTATTAACTAATAGAGAAGCAAGATTAACTAAGCAGTAAGTAGTAGCAAATTTAGGACAAAGGTAGTTCCTTATTAGATACCAGACACTGTAATCTGGAATATGCGGTTTTGTGCTTAACACGATATAAATGCCTTCGATGCCTTCATTAAAGATGTGAATTGTTTTTGTCAAGAGTACATCATTATCATCATTATAGAAAAGTCCTCCCCAGCCTACTGTCACTAAATGTATAGGTCTTTTGGAGTCGGAGACATAATTGTGAACTAATTCAATCACTTCCTAATTATTAACATTTTTAAATGAATTATTTGTATTATTATTTTATGTTTTTGTTTGAAATAAACAGAGAACATCCATTCTTTGGTAAGAGTAGTAGTCACAATTTCAACCTGTAGCCAACTTATTTGGGGGATAACATATTCATAAATTAGTTTCCACAAAGAACCCAATTGTTCACTTTTAAGATGTTACTGTTGTGATTAGTAATTAATTGGTTATTCTTTATTAATTGGTCATAGTTCACAAGTAGTTCTCAATGAGGATATATTTTTTTTGTAATTATCAAATATCTAATAAGGAACTACCTTTGTCCTAAATTTGCTACTACTTACTGCTTAGTTCATCTTGCTTCTCTATTAGTTAATAGTATTAAGTTAAGTGTTAATGTAGGACTACCTATTACTTCCTGCATAGTTACTTGTTAACAACGGACCATTATTCTAAAGTGTTACCCTTGTGTAATGCAATGAAACTTTGATCTTGTGCAAATGGAATTTAAAGTGTCCAAAGGTCCCTGAATGGGCAAGCAGCTTATATATACAGTAATACATACATAGGCTATATATATATATATATATATATATAGCAGTGCTTTATGCCGAACCCCTCTTATTCCTTCTTCTTGTGGAGCAGTGGAGGGTAGGAAAAGGAGGGATTGAGAGCAAAAGGGGTACAAGCAGAGCACTGTGCAAACATTAATGCTACAGGCATTAGGCCTACTGAATTGAATACACATATCTGGAGGTTGTGTGTTGAAGTGGGAACTTAATTCCCTGTCAAGTGATTTACCAGCTGGGAATCTTAATACCCAAATGCACTGTAGTGGAGAGAGGCTGTTACAGCAATGCGCTAGTGGAACACAAACACAAAGCAGAAACTGTGTCGCGTATATTTGCCAACACTGTGGGCTGAATAATGCTTTGCATTGTCCCAGATACTTTTGTTTAGGTAATTTCACAATTTACTTTGATTGCGGCAGATACTGACTATTGCATCCTCTGTTTAAAAAAGAATAATAATAATTCTCATACCTTTTTATACCAAAATGATGCTGGTTTTCATGCTGTAGATGTGTAATCTGAAAAAATGCTTTCAGAACCAGCCTGCATATCCAGTTGGCAGTCAAGCGATGACGTAACTGACTATTGTACTGCATAATCTGCCAACAAATCAACGAAGTACATCACAGTCTTTGTTTAAGATTCTTAGGAGTTTGAAGAATATATTTAAACATCCAAAGTTATTTGATCTAGCATCCTTATGCAGTCACAAGTGTCTTTTGATGTAACAGTTTGAAGTAGTTAAAATGTATTACGAATGGAATTTTTAGTAATTAATTCACACAATTTAATAAATAAAAATTGTAAATTAAATGTATTTTGCCAGACAACGACAATAAAGTAGCTGGAGCCAATAATAATGATTATTAGTAGTAGTAGTAGTAGTAGAAGTAATATTTGTATTATTATTATTATTGTTGTTATTAAATTATTTCATAATTGTTACATATTTTATGTCAATTTATTTTAAGACCAGCATATTTTTGGGGACAGTTAAAATCAGTTTCCATCCAACTTTAATTTGTTGGTTTATTTATTTATTTACTTACCAGCATATTTTAAACCAGTTGGAGTCAGTGTCTGTCCCTTTATTTATTTATTTATTTAGTTAGTTAGTTAGTTAGTTAGTTGCTTGCTTGCTTTATCTTTGTTATAAAATGCACTGTCTATATACGGTTCTCATTCATTTATTCCTTAATTAATTTACATTATTTTATTTATTTATTTACATTATTTAATATATTTGTATTTTTATACCAGCATATTTTAGGGCCTGGTTGGAGTCTGTATCCATCCCACATTCATTCATTCATTCATTCATTCAGATATTTTTTAGAGGCCAATTGGAGGCTAAAGGGTTTACCTGAAATTTAAAAAAAAAATGTAAATTATTGTTTTAGTTTGATTGAAGTGCACAATCATTAACTTTTTGTCTCTCTTGCCAGGTATATTTCAAGCGGGATGGAGAGTTGATAGAGGTGATCTCCTATGTTTCATCCACCGTGGATTACGAGGGCGGCGGCTCCGCTGGCGTGCGTGGAGCCAGACCTCTGATCAGCAGGGATCTGGACGACACTAAGCTGAGGAAGTCTCTATCTCTGCTGGGTCCGGATGGCAGGCCCGGACGCCTCTACACAGAGAGCCCTGGGCGGAGCTACATGGCCAGACAGCCCGGTCAAGAGCCCAGCCCGGCCACAGAGACCATCCCAGAGACAGTGGTCAGCCGAGAGTTCCCACGGTGGGTTCAGAGCACTGACCCCCTGTACTACTTCAGCAACATGCAAATCCCCCAGAGCGATGGGTCTGTGCTGGTTCAGGCCAAGCTCACCTGGACTCTGAATCCGCAGTTGGACAACGACGCCCTGTTTAGCTGCGAGGTCTCACACCCGGCTCTCTCCATGCCTATGCAGACTGAGGTCACACTGGGTATGTCTTGCTTTTGTTGGCTTTAACATTGGATGCAGATCTTTAGATCAATGTGAAAGCTTTGTTTTTGACCTTCAACCTAATTATTCACCTCCCCTCATCTGATCGCGGGTGAATCCTTTTACATCCCCACCTGACAGATGCAGTGAGACCAACACTGGTTTCTATTTGTTGCTTAATTGCGTTACAGGCAAGCAGATTGCAGTTACTAATGCAGAAGGCAAAATCTCCCCGTGATTGACAGGCCAATTCATTGAGCTGTCTGCGCAGTAGATTGAGCTAACTTGACCACGTTATTGAAAAAGTCAACCTGAATTAAAGAAATCAAGCATAAAGGGGAATTTTGCAGTGTGCTCAAAGACAGCATTGTTGCTGGATCTCACTATTGCAATCCATTGATAATCTTAAAAAAGTCTACCATCTGCTAATTAAGATGCTAAAACGAGGAAATGCCAAACTGCTTGTTGCGTTTCATATTTGTGTCAGTAAAATAGGCTTGATGCATTCACTTGTTTATAAGTAATGAAAGTCGTGGTGCAACAACGCCAAAGAATGGGATCCTGGCATACCTTTGTATTTTCATGGATGAGATTTTTTTTTTTTTTGCCTTTTTTGCTTTTAAAGCTACAACAAAGATGGCCTGACGATCCCATTATCACTTCAAAGGCAGCACTCACTTGTAGTCTCTGCTATCAGCCCTCAGAAAGAGGCAAGTGATGAGACGCAAGACAAGATAAACAGAGACATTTCTCTCACTTAGTGGTGCAGGAACAGTGCAGAAAGCGATGAAGGCGGGGGAAAGGACAAAAAACAGTGATAAGACGAAGAAAGTGTGGATGGTCTAGAAGTTGCTGCGGTTTCCATTCAATATTTCTCTCTCGTTCTCATTCTCACTTGTTCCGTCATCCTCAACTCATTCCAGCATGATCCTCATCTGTGCATTTCATGGCTGCTCAGACAGAAATCGCAATCCTATCGCAAGAGTATCTGCTTGTTTTGCAAACGTTTAGCATGAGAGAGAGAGATGTGATTTCATTTTCACTAAAACATAATTCCCTGGTGTTTATAAAATAATTATTGCAACCACAGGAAAGAAAGCAGAATAAACTTTGATCATATATAGCCACGATATACCAAAATGAATCATGGGATGCAGTGCGTGAGGAATTGGTTTGTGCTAGATGACAAAGACAGATCCCTTAGTGACAGAACTGTGTCAGCTAGGAGAGATTTTGCTTTACCGTTTATACTGCAGTAGGTGCATTCGTACAGCTCTCAGTTAGCAAAACTGCTTAATGTTATTTACACATAATAATGATACACAGAGAAATGTACAAATATATATTGTAGGACGTATCCCAAAGCCAGTCAAGACGATGAAGAACATGTTTTTAAAGGGGCATAATTCATACTAGTGGTGTTAAATTGTTTACAGTTTCCAAGCAACATCATAACTTGGCATATTTACTTTTTTAATAACTGCATTAATATTATAATTTTTAACCCTATTCATGTTATGTTATTCAGTGTTCTTGTGGCTCAGTGGTAGAGCATTGTGTTAGGAGCGATAAAGGTCATGGGTTCGATTCTCTGGGAACACACATACTGGTAAAAAATGTATAGCCTGAATGCACTGTAAGTCGCTTTGGATAAAAGCGTCTGCTAAATGCATAAATTAATTATGTTATGTAATGTGAGTGTTTTTTTGCACTGATGCCAGATTTTTTCGTTAGTTTTGATGCATCCATTGAGTTACAAATAAAATAAGAAAATAATCGTTTTTATTTGTAAAGTAAATTCACTGCATTAGTAGTAGGCCTTACAGTTTAGTATATAAACCACATTTTCCGTGAACATTTTCGATGTAAATTTAACAATTGATGATGTCAGCATCAAAGCAGTTTTTATAAATATGTGTCTTGAGAGCAGGAATGCACCTGAAGCTGCGCTAGCTAAGCAGGGTGTTGTGTCATTGCTTGCAATGTAGCGAGAGAGAAGTAAGTTCGCTGGAGTGCAGGCCTAGAAAAGCCTTGCTAACTTTCGACTTGTATATTTTAACAAGGCCTTCAAACCATTAATTTAACAGCATCTCTGTTACTTAAGAAAACAAGATAGCGAGCACTATTTCGGCTTCTCTTTGTTCTTACTCAGAGAATACAAAACAAAAATGTGCAGTTGTTTTTTTTAATTGGATCGCACTTAGAATTCAAAACATTAACATACCTGGCTTGAGCTTGGCACAGCCCCAAGTGATAACAGTGAGCTCCTATGTGAAGAAATGCATGCATATGCGTGAGAATTTTCTTATTTGTTTCCTTTGTTTTATGCTTAGCATGTGCAAAACAGTCATTTTTGAAGTCAGAATTAAATCCTATATAAACCGTTAAAACGTTTATATGTATTGTGTAATTTATTCCTGTGATGTCAAAGCTGATTTTTCAGCAACCATTACTTTAGGAGATAAGACTGGAATATATTATGTAGGCTATGCGGTTGCTCTAGTAGGTTTCATTCCAGTTACTATCATGACACCACTAGTACAGGTGATCCACTTCTAACCTGTACTCGGTCAGAAAATTAAACGCAAGTCACAGGAGCATTCACAAGTCATAAATCTTTCACAATTTTTAATATTTTCACATGAGACCGAAACATCTTGACAACGACTCACATTTGTATTACATTCACTGAATATTCATGTGGTGAGACTTGCGCTGCGTCTAAATGGATGTGGTTGGTCCGTGGAGGCGTTGTTCTCAGAATACTGTCCTCACCTCAGAGCATCACGGCTGGGCTTGTTGCCCTGACTTGGCTGTCTGTTAGTCATATCCAAATATGCAGTGATTCAGTCAGTGCCTCTCCATAATTAAAGCTGAGCCAGGCTCAGCAGTGAGGATTTGCATGGGTGAAGGTGCTACTGATTCAGCAAAACACAGAAGGGGAATGAGTTATATTCTCCCATCCAGAGGCTAGAGATGATCTATGCCTGCACGCCAAGTTCCTCTACCCAATAGACTGATAATAAGTACGCAGATGTTTGTTGTGGGTTGTGTGTGGGAGTGTGAATGAATCTGTGCGCATTCAAACAACCTTATTTCTCTGTCAGGGGTATTAATGGCTTGGAGGTTTAGTGGACCATAAGAAGTAGGAGAAAAGTTGGCAAGTTTTGGTCAAACAAGTCTGAGAAGAAATCCAGGGTTAAATACGACATGATCATCCATGACGACATCCTTCGTTGGTCCTGGAAGAACATTTGCAATCATAAGTAAACCTAATGGTAGATTTTGGTTGGCTGGTAAGAATGTTGATCCAGGAACATGTTGTACTTGGGTAAATAACATTAAGTCCAGAGTCATTACTTAGCATGGTTGGACAGTGTAAGCTCTGCTAAATAAACCAGCTTGGGCTGTTTTTTTTCTGGCTTTTAAGGCTGGTCTAGGCTGGTTTATGCTGGTCTAGTTGACAATTGTGCATGAAGACAAAAAAGTCGTCTAAAAGTTCATTTTTAAGAAACACAAATAATTTAATAACACTGTTAAAGGGATAGTTCACCCAAAAAATTAAAATTACCCCATGATTTACTCACCTTCAAGCCATCCTAGGTGTATATGACATTCTTCTTTCAGACGAATACAATCGGAGTTATATTAAAAAAAAATCCTGGCTCTTCCAAGCTTTATAATGGGAGTGGATGGTAGCCCAAAATTTGAAGTCCAAAAAATTGAACCAATCCATTATAAAAGAAGTTCACACGGCTCCGGGGGGTTAATAAAGGCCTTCCGAAGCGACGCGATGCGTTTGTGTAAGAAAAATATCCATATTTACAACTTTATAAACCTTTATCTCTAGCTTCCGCTAACTGTCGTACTCGCATTCACGAGAGAGGGGCGTCCAGCGGATGACGTAGCATGTAGGCAAACGTGGTGATGAACGCGGAAGTGACGAACATGGAAGCGCAGAGGAGAGAGCAAAACATAACACCGGTCAATAATTACTAGTACAAAACGAGGATTTGTAAAGAAAAATGTTGGAGAATTTCAATATAAGCCAAGAGGACACTGGTTTTCCTTTGCTGTAAACAAAACTTGTTTCTCGCGAAACTAGCATATTCTCACTGGAGTTTATACTACGCCTACGTCATCATCCGCTGGACGCCACTCTCTCGTGAACGCGCATACGACAGTTAGCAGAAGTTAGAGATTAAGGTTTATACAGTTGTATGGATATTTTCTTACACAAACGCATCATTTCGCTCCGGGAGGCCTTTATTAACCCCCCGGAGCCGTGTGGACTTCTTTTATAATGGATTGGTTCAATTTTTTGGACTTCAAATTTTGGGCTACCATCCACTCCCATTATAAAGCTTGGAAGAGCCAGGATTTTTTTTAATATAACTCCGAATGTATTCGTCTGAAAGAAGAAAGTCATATACATCTAGGATGGCTTGAGGGTAAGTAAATCATGGGGTAATTTTCATTTTTGGGTGAACTAACCTTTAAATGTTTTCACTCTATGCATTACAATGTTTGAGACTTTGTAGATGTCTCCCTTAGTGAAGTCTGAAAGTCAACGCCTCTGTGGCTCATCAGTTACAGTGCTTGCAGCCATAATCAAAGGTAACGACATGGGTCACCAAATGCTCCTCCTGGAGTTGGTCCCAGACATCTGGCCATCACCTTTCTTCAACAAGAAGCTTTTTATAAGCCTTTCTCAGGCTAATTCTGTTCAAAATGCTTTAAAAAACAATTGCTATGGCAGAACAGTTACCTGGCACCACGGGTAGGAAAAAGTCACAGCTCAGTGATTTTTTTTTTGTCAGCTCCATTTTTGTTTGTAAGGTTAGGGCTTAGGTTAGGCAATCCACGGTATTGATCTGTTAATTCATCTACTTGGTACGGAAAAGGCAGGGTCAGCCTTTGAGTGCCCATTGCTCTGTCAGAACACAGGCCCCATCAAAGGTCTCCTTTTGTTTTTCAACTGTTTTCTTAGGGAAAGTCGATGGAGTCATTGAGTCATGATTCATGCCTTGACAAGCTCTTAATCTCTCTTGTATATTGTATTTCACATCTCTTTCTCCACTCCACAAAGCCTGACCGCTAATATCCCCAATAATTTCCATAATAAGAAAGCTGGCGAAAGAGGATTTCTGTGTATTCGGTGTAGTGTCCTGCCATAACTTGATTTATGTGTGAAATACACATGCATAGGACCCATTACAAATGTGAGAGCGGAAATCATAATCCATTAAGCGGCACCAGGGGTTAATCATTAAACTGACTAAGACTGGCTTGATGGCTCATTAGCTTTTGCTGGACACTCTGTGGCTTAAATGATGGCTAAAAGCATGATTAGCCATTGTTTCACATAGTTCTCAGTAGTTGGATTATCTCTGTGTTGTAGGAACCAAAGCATAGCATTAGCCGTAATGAGGGTTGAAAAAAGGCCATAGTAGGCTGTATTTTTGAATAATTTCAAGTCGAATCTACATTTACAAAGCTTCGCTCTGGAATTATGTATTAGCGCAAATATATGGCTCACAAAACTTGTTTTATGGTTCTCAGGGTTATGTGGAGTGGATCCTGGTAATCATGGTAAACGATGCAGAACCACTTAACACAGGACCAGTCGGAGGCTTTTTCACTCTCAGACTCCGCTGCTATAAAGCGCCTAGCTCATATTGCCAAATAGAGGAAGTTTCACTTGAGAAACTTATGGTCTCACTTTCCAGACATGTACAAAATCACTTTCTTATCTTCCCCCTGAGTACACAAGAGAAATCCCCGGTGCCTGAGAAGGTCAAAATATGGTATTTTAACCTTCCTTTCCTTCATCACATCCCAGCCATTCTCTGAGACCAAATTAAACCCATCTGGGAGATTCGGTCCACACAAGACAAGGGAATTACTTCTCTAAGTGTCTCTTATCTTACTTCCTCCACCGTTTGCCTTGCATGCTCTGTTTCTTCTTCAGTAATGAGTGTCTACCCAATTTAGGTCCTTGTCCCTCTTGGGAAATACATACTCCTCAGCAGTTTCAATAAAGGAAACTGAGAATCTCCAAGTTGACCTCCAAGTCAAACGCCATGACTTTGGTCTGTTAATACTGTGCTGGTATACTAGTATTGTTTTAATTAGGGATGCACCAATTCCACTCTTTCAAGAATGAGTCTGATACCGTTACTTTTTTTGGTACTTACCGATACGATATTTTGAAAGTATTGGGTACAGAAACCAAAAGAATATGAATCATGTTAGCTGGCTTCATTTAGCAAACAGAGATTTCCTTCAGTTATTTTCACACTTAATTATGCCCATTAAAATGTATTGTATAAGCTTTTGTTACTTTTACTGTTTCTTTTATTTCTAAATGGTATTTTATCTTTAATTTAATAGCGCATTAGAGCTGCTTCATTGCAGCAGCTCGGTACTGTAATCACAAGACGTTTTCCTGTAATAATATAGGGAACCACTCGTTATACATAAATCGTGTAACATATTTTCTGAAATATAAGTCACGTTTTTTATCATCTGAACCGTGCTGTGTCTTCGGAAACATGCTGCGATTCCAAAGCAAGCAAAGCATACACATCGCACACACACATTTGTATTGGTGCAGAATGACAGAGACACATATAGCCTAGAACATTTCACACAGGCTGTGTATTAATTACATGCATGTACTTCATAGACCTGCTTAATCTCTACTAACTCCATTCTGCTCTCTGTTGTTCTGTTGTCGGTGTTTCTTTGTCTGGACACAGCACTGTTCACACACTGTGTGCTATCGGCTTTTGGTATCGGAGCATTTTAATGAGTACGAGTACGAATTCAGGAGCTGAGTATCAGCTCTAGTGCATTCCTAGTTTTAATGTTGCGCAGCAAAAACTGACAGTGTTTTCTCTTGTTTCCTTCCATAGTGGCTCCTAAAGGCCCCAAGCTTTTGATAACCCCTGCCAGGGCAAAGGTAGGGGATACGGTTCGTATCACCGTCCAAGGTTTCCAGGTAGGATCTCCAGTGGTAAGTCCATGGGGGTTACGAAACCAGGGCCAAGTTCAGTTTTGGATACGAGGAGGTTTGTCCCGCATGTGCAGTTAAGCCTGTGTGATATACGGCTATAGTGACCATTCTTACAGAGTGTGCAATACAACACATGTATCTGTCAGCTTCTGACCTGGTACTGCTATCCATGAGCTATCAATCCAAATGGTTCAACCTGTCCAAGGACGGGTGCACTGCATCTGACAAAATCAAACCGTTGAATCATGTAAGTTGCTATGAAATCAAAATAGAGGGTTTTCAAAGGTCATGAGAACAAAAACTCTGAAAATTACCTATTGAAAAGCACTTAGGGCTGCAACTCAAAAAAAAAACCTTGAGCACTCAAGGATATTAGGATGTGCGAGACATATATTGGTGGTGAGATAAGATAAGAGTTTAATATAAGAATCAAATTGCATTTGTAAATGGTCTACAGACACTCCGACTGAGCGACAAAAATGCTCTTTGGATGAAATGCCATTTAAGTTGCGATTATTTTTTTTCCCCCCGATTGATTCCTCTATTGTTAGCACTCTATATTTCAGTGTAATTTCCATGAACACAGAACAAAGCAAACAAAACCAATGTGGTGTTGCATTTAATAAATCTCTTCAAATTAAAAACTGCCATAAAATCGCTAAATGAAAAAATGGGTCACATTTGTTCCATTTAGATGTTTATCCGGTTTGCCTGCTGTTAGCTGTTAAAGGAAATAATTTATGTTTCAGAACATTGCAAAAAAAAATTCTTAATTTGGTATTGTTTTCCAATAAAAAATTATCTGAATAATATAGTATGTAAAAAAAAAATCCTTAAAACAAGTTACAATTTCTAGTTTATTTTTCTTACTTTGTTGGCAAATAGCGTTTTTCTTGTTTTAAGCATAAAACCTGACTAGATTGTTATATTTGTGCGTAATAAGAAAAAAACTAATAAATTAGGATGAGTAAAAAATAAATAAATAAACTTAATTTGTATAGTTTGTTGTGGTATAATTATAGAACAGTATAAGGTAAAACGTGTTCTTAAGTCTTAATAACTGCCGTTTTGCGTCTTGTATGTATCTTGTTTAAAAGATGATTTCCAGTAAAATGCTAGAAACAGGACACTAAAACTGACCTAGAAAATAATTTTAATGAAATATATGCTTAACAAGAACTATCCCCAGAAATAAGGCTAGCATTGAGTTATTATGATAGCATTAGGCCTCTTTTTGTTAATGCAAAACTCTTCTTACTTGTGTTTGTGTTCTGTTTGGTATTCTCACCAGAAGGCATAAGAGCATCTGATTAAAAAACAAATCAGCTGGTTTTTGATGTATTTCACTGCAGCTTTCAGGGATTTCGCTGCTTTCGTTTGTTCTTGTCAGACAAGCTAGCAAAACAGGTGCGAGCACAGAGCTAGCTAGGAGCGCTTTACTGTCAACTGCGCCAAATTTATACTTGCTTCAATAGTCCGTCAGCTCCACAAGCCTAGTGAAGCAGTAAGATTGTCTCAGTGTAACTATCACCGTCTGCCAAGAGCTAAAAAAAAAAAAATTCTTCCCCAGCAGATAAACACAGAACGGTTTGGTGATGATCCGCCCAATCTTTGTGATAGGGCCGACTCAGAGATGTGTCTGGTCAACGGCATTTAGGTGGAAAGAAATTAGACCCGATATGCTATCATCACTGAATCTACATCTACTTTGAAGCTATTTTGTTTGTGGCTTGAATTTAAAAGAGTGTTACAGTAGTTATGTTTTATTCCTGGAAATTCCAGGTATGGCTGAGTTCTTAAACCAGGCAGTTAGCTTGTCCAAACTAGTCAGTGCCAGGCCTAAACTGGTCATTAGCTGGTCTATACTGGTCTTTAGCAGATTTAGACTGGTTATTTGCAGATCTAAACTGGTCATTTGCAGGTTAACACTTGTCATTAGCTGGTACAAGCTAGTAGACCATTTAGATGGGCAACAATCTCAGTCTAAACTCATCAATGTAAGGTTAGACCAGCTATTGACCAGCCTGGGCTGATTCAGACCAGCTAGAACCCATGTTTCAAAGCATAGCTACCATCTAAAACTGGATTTTTTTCCATTAAGAATGTCCTTTCATTTTGGGTTTTGTATGGAAAAAGCACTAAGATGTAGTTACCTGAGTAGGGGAGTTGGTTGGTGCATGGCAGATCTGTGTGTTTATTCAACCACATTTTGCATATTTGAAGTACACCTTTAAATAATAGAAGAATGGTCACCATAAACAGGCTTGACGGGGACATAAATCCAGTTTGGAGCTTAATATTTACACAAAAGATTTCAGAGGATTTTAAAGACAATGGAGTTTTATTTGGAAGAACATCTCCCTTATCCTTAGCTGCTCCAAGGCCTTGGGTTTCACATGTAGATCAGATAAATGTTAGCACAGAAAACTAAATACTACCCTGATATTCAAACAGTCCCAAAAAATAGACTCAATATCCCCTTTGGTTTACTTAGACTCTAGTTAAACCACTAACAATGGGGTCACATTGGTGTCTCCTTCCTTTCTAAATTAAAATTTGTATTTGAATAGAGTACATAGCATTTATGCTCTCCAAGAGCTTGTCTTACTGTCATTTCTTGACTTTAACCATGCTAGTGCCATGGGGGATATTTTTATCTGGATCTGACCTGATTCCACCAGCAAGTGCAAACTCATTTCACTGCTGTCATGGTGTGAATGTGGAAGTCCAGTTACACACAGCCAAGCCACACTCTCCAATGAGCCGTTATCAGAGGTCACCCAGACAAGCCACATGATTTTGTGAAGTTAGATGGATTGTGCCAGCCAGTCACTTATCACACTTAGAACATGGGTAGATTGGTTTGATCAGCAGGGGAAAGATATCCTCTCTCATGCCCGGAAACTGGATCTACAATGAATCGGGATGTAGCCTTGGCTCAGGCACTGAGATTTCTAGGTTTCATCACACCTGTCCTCTTGTGTAGAATCAAATGATATTATACTGAGCTTTCACAAGTATTAAAAGGCAAGGACTTGTTCAAATAGGCATGAACTTATTTATTGTGTTAGTGGGCTTCCAGGCATAGTTGCAGACAATGCTACACCATGGACCACTGTAAAGGAGCGTATAAGAATACTTGATATTCTTTTGCCTCTTGTGGACTACCTGTTTGTTGTGTTGTTGTATTTTCATTGCCGCCCCTAAAGGCCATCAAACTCCTTATATTCCTCTTCCTTGAAAAGTCTATAACAAGAAATGCTTTAATTGTCTCCATATAATATTGCATTGCATATTTTCTGTCCTTTCTTCCAAACGGAAAGGTATTGTGGGTTTTTTATTTATTTATTTTTTTTATTTAGAAAGGACTCTTTAAAAATGGGTTTATATTATTCATAATATAACATGTTTCTTAATGACTTAAGATGCCTTTTTATTTACTGTACTGTATTTTTAAGAGATGCACTGATATTAATATTCTGGCAATGCAGATAAGCTGATAATTATTTAAACTGATACATTTCTGATAGATAAATAAATTCGGTATTATTTTAACTAAATAAATGTCAAATAAAGCATTACATCACAACATTATGATGTAGTATTAAAAATGGATATACTTTCTGAGAAATAATCTTTCGAAAGAAGAAATAAAACTACGTTTCGGTAAGCGTTAGATGACAGCAAATGTTAATATAGGATAAATCATGCACAATTTAAAATCCAATAAATTGAAAAATCAAATATAAGTCAATAACTGATTTAGTACCAATACATTGTACGTCACTTTCTGTATCTTGGGCTTCTAACTAATTTTTCCCCTAATGTACACATTCTTGTGTACTAAACACGCGCGTACACACTACTTCCAGAATGAGGTGTTTCCTGAGCCTCTGTTCACCTGGACGCGGGTAGGCGACAGACTGCTGGACGGCAGTGCCGAGAGAGATGGGAAGGAACTGGTGTTGGAGCGAGTGCCTGCAGAACTGAATGGCTCCATGTACCGCTGCACGGCCCAGAATCCACTGGGCTCCACTGACACACACATACGCCTCATTGTTTTTGGTGAGTAGCTCCAGCAGTAACTCCAATTTCTATTCGAAATGCAGTAATTAAAGGTCTTTGTTTATTGAATTCTATTTCGCATTCTATTATTGTATTCTATTGGAGTTGTTTTTTGTCTTTTGAGGACAATATCGTTAAATCAGTATTTCGTCATGTCATTAATTTTAATAAGGTTTACTCCAAAATTAGTCAACAAAAATAACATGTCAGTTTATGAGAAAGTGCAAAATAAAACCTAATATTATATATAAAGACATTTATTTAAACTAAGCAGGAAATGCAGCTTATTCTGAACATTTGTGACATAAGATAGATGGCTACATTAACACATGACCGTCAAATCTGCAGTATATTGGAATGTTTGGGTCAAAGATGTCTTTCCTTAATGGATATTGTTTTTTGTTAGCACAAATATGAAATCATCAACATCTTGTTAAAAGAAAAGTTGCCTTTTTGAGTTTGATTGTGTGACGGTTTCATTCCCCTGTGGTTTTGTCTAGCCATCCTTTGCTGCTGAAACAGATGCTGTGCCCACTAAGCCTTGGCTTTGTTTTCATTGATGTTAGAAAGAGATTGCTTGCTGACGCTGTTGCGTGTGTGTGTGTTTTGCCGCCCCTGGACTAATTTCCCCCCTGAGCTTTCGAGGCTGTCAGGGTTTATGAGAGATCTGCCTATAGCGTGAGCACAGATCTAATCAAAGATGTGCTTTGGAAGATGAAGGGCAGTCGGTGCAACTCTGGATAATCTGAATGACAGCCAAGGCTGAGGACAAAAAGCTGAATACGGTTCACCATCAGGCGTGAACATACAATTGCACCCATGATCAACTGAATCAGTAGTTTGTTGTAGATTCAACCATATGCAAAAACAATTGCTTCTTACTTCTCAAAGCAATGCATGATCATGTACAACACACATACGACTTTTGCTAAGGGATAGGGCACACAAAATTCTGTCACCACCCTCGTGTCGTTCCAAACAGTGGCAGAGCTAGAGTTGTCCATAAAGTTGTCCATCATCTATATCATACAATAGCTTCTCCTTGAGTGAACTGTCAACCACTGCAACCAGAACATTTAATTAGTGAGTTTATACTGGTTTTGTGAACTGAATCAACCAATTAATTGAGAAGAAGCCTCAAAAGAAATTATTTAAATGTGCAGGCGGATGTCAAGATTTTCAGTGAATAGCTACTCAATTGATCAGTGTTTATGGGTGAGTTGTATGGACCATGATGCTTTAATGCATCTCTTTTCATTGTGACACAATTGTCCACTTTCAAAACTATGCTGAAAGTAAGGACAAACCATCCATCACTCCTATTCTTCAGGCCTATTCTTCTTACCCATCTACAAATTGTTGGGCGGAGTACAGGAGGCCATTTGGTGAAAAGTGTTTTTTTGGGGAGGACGACACCTCAGGAATGATTCATGTGGAGGAGCGTTAATATCTATTTAACAGCCTAGTGTGGCCCGCATCATCATACACCTCATTCAAAACATCCTTGTGATTTTGAGTCTGAACACGGGTGGCACAGAGAGGAGAACGGCGATTAAGAGCATTTGAATTGGGCTACTATTGACCGGTTTCAATAGCCATTCATTAGAGCCCATCAGCTGTATTAAAAAACAAAGATGAGCATTTAGGAGAAAGGAAGCTTGCAGTGTCAGATCTTGTTAATAGATTTTTGCTGCTACAGTATCGGTCGAGGGGGCGGTTGAGTATTCTTGGAAAAGATTTTGGGATTTTTTGGAGTTTGCTCATCTGTGCTATCATAGAGAGCTCAAAGTTCAAAAGGTTACAGTCTTTGGTGGATTTTACATGGAAGCCTGCCAAGAATAGGAGTGAACTTATGAACTTTGGCTGCTGATAGCTCTTCAGTGGTATTCTAGTCTTGTCTCTAAGAGACTCGTGGTTTTCATCCTTCATATTATCCTTCATCCTTGTATTATCTATTAATACACTCTTCTCTCTCCCTCTCCACCTCTTAATCTTCAACTCCCCTTCCTCTTCTCTGTTCTGCAGAAAACCCAAGTATGTTGAAAAACACACAGAATCCGAACAGTAAGTATTTGAGCGCCTCAATGATTAGATTCCTTGACTGTGTGAACTTTTTGCTGCCTCTTGTTTGAGAAGAATCCGTGATGAATTAAGAATTACAAGAGAGCCGTTCTGCAGTGTTTTCTTCCTACGGGTGCTATAATTGCACAACTGAAGTTTTTAAAAATGACAGAGAATGCAGCAAGGTCGGAATACTATCCCAAAATGCATTGCACTCAACATAATCTTCCATTCCGAGAATGACACATGAACCAATAGCAATATCTCATTGACTGAATATTTGCCAAAACATTTTTTTTCTAAAATTGGATTAGATTTTCCAAATAACTGTATTTATTTCTGAGATAATCACTTGCTGAATTAAATAAGCAACAAACAAGCAATAAGTACAACATGCAGCATAGGTCATGTGACAACTCTATTGCATACTTGTATATATATATAATGTATGTATTGAAAGCATTGCAAGAAAATGCATTGTTAGTTTTAAAATGCAATAAGTAAAGGGTAAGAAATGAACAACCTCTAGTGTCACCTTGACTGATTATTTGCCAAAAGTTAAGCCCCTTTTATGCCAAATTGGATGCCAAATCACCATATTAATTTCCAAGATGATAACTAGACACCATTGATAGAATTACATATTCTATAGAGTATACTATATATAAATGCAGTACAATGTGTGGAACTGGTCTCTTGTAATGCTATATGTTTCAAAAGCAGTGTTTGCTTCCTACACATGATATAATTGTGAAATTGCTAAATTGTAGTTTGCTAAATTACTACATACTGTGTTTTTATTGTCTTTGGTCTCCCTCCATCCTCTCCTCCTCTCAAGAGGCCTTGTGTCTTCCGAAGACTTGCTGCTTTCACCATTTAGAATCTAGAAATGGGCCATCACTTACCAATGCACCAGCGCGTCCACAGCAAATATAATTCAGTGATGGATTACGGTTGTTTTATACATTCAGTGCTGGCTCATTTACAGTTTCTTAGAGTCTCATATGTAAATATGAAGAACTGTCAGGCAGAAGGGCGGAAGGAGGCCTCTGCCTTTTTTTATTTCTTATGTTTTTCTCTTATTCTTTTTTTTAATTCTCTCTCTTTCACCTCACCCAAAACCCCTCTCTTTTCTGTGCACCACCGCATCTACGGATGTAAATTTGAATATGCAAATACGGCAGGGCAGGTGTGTGAGAGCAAGGACAGAATCAGGTCAATGTGACCGCTGATCTTGAGTCGAGCTTCAGATGCCCCTCATATGCAAAGTCAAATGGCTTGTAGAACAAGGCCTCAGGAGGTCACTATGTCTGACATGTGTCTGAATCTCAAACACCCTCTCGACTCACAAAATAGCACCCTAAAGACTTTAGTGCTCACAAATGGCCTGAAGTCTATTATTCTTCTGCTGGATCCTTAGTTTAAAATGGCTGGTTATGTTCAGAATTCCAAACAACTATAGTACTCTACATACATATTTTATAATATTTAATTTCTGTATGGATGGCCAAATGCATTTGCTAAATTATACATTGTGCATCCCGAGCACAATGTGTGAAATACTGTACGCCACGCTGCAATGTGTTATCTCCTTTTTGATTTTCAGTACTAAGTGATTGAACTGATGTAAAAATGTTTTTACACAAAATTGGATATTAAAAAAAATCATAAATATACATTTTAATATTTTATTTATAAAATAGTAATTATTAATATTAAGTAATTACACATGTGACAGGTCATGAGGTCATGTGACAACAATGTAATGTGCTATTTTAAATATATTATACTATTTTTTTTTAGACAGTATACTGTGCTGTGGTATCCTTGTGTTCCATTCTGAACATAACCACTGAGTTTTGACCATAAAAGAAAAAAAAATTATTCATATTGTGGGTATAAAGTGGTACTAATGTTATATTAATTATAGCACTAACACCCATATAAGCCATAAAAGTAGAAATAATGTTATATATTACCACTTGTTTTGTCAATGAAAATGAGAGCGATGGTAATAAAATTACTTCAGCACTGAAGAAGTATTGCTCATAATACTTATGACAGCCATCATCATTTAGTGCTTATTGAACATTGTGTAGTATGCATGAAAGTTGTGGCCCCAGTGATCCAGCACCACTGTACAGCTAGTTCAAACCTTTTAGAGTGCATTAGACGATTACAGCAAAGTACCTGAGAAAAGTAGTTCGCTCATACAGCTTTCTTGCCCACAGTACTACAGCGAGAATGAATCTCTCATGCAGAAAGTAAGGAGCTCTGCTTGCTCCTTTATTAGCCAGACCCTTTATGTTTGAGATAGATGACCCAAAAATAAAAAGTCTTCAACAATTATTTACTCTCATGTTGTTCTAAATCCATGTGATGTGTTTTTGTTCTGTGGAACACTGTGTTCCAGACAATTTACAGTGACAACAAAAAAAAAAACTATAAATGTTGTCCATATGACTTTGCAGCTCTTAAATCAAATATTTCACAGGTTGGACATCAATAACATCAAATGTTATGACATCCAACAATTTTAATATTTAATTCTGCGATCTGCATAATGATTTTTTGTTTTTTTAGAGTGAATAGTGAATAAACTTTCTCACACAAAGCTATCGTGTTTCTTGGAATATATGACAAACAAATCATATGAACTACTAATTATATGGACTTTTTTTTTTTTTTGTAGTGCTTTATTTTGTCATTTTTGGAGCTTGATAGCCCATGATCACCAGGAACTGCTTTTTAGTTCCACAGAAAACAACAGCACACATTTTTTAGATTGACATTAGTGTGAGTAAATGATGACAGAACTTCATTTCGTTTTTGGGTGAACTATCCTTTTAAGACAGGGCTATAAGCAAAACTGGATTACGACCAAGATGTGACAAGCATCTTCTTGCCAAATACTAATTACTTTTATTTACTCTTTCAGATGGAGCTCCTGGTTTGCACAAGCTTGGACTGATATTCCTGCCACTTATTTTCACAGTGACTGTTGAACTGACGTGAATATCCTCGATTCAGCTGCACATAAACACACCTCCTCTCCAGTCAGGCCCACACACACTCACACACACACACACACACGCACACAAGCCGTCTCCAGACCGTGACTAAACCTACCTTGCTTTCATCTGTGGGAGAACCTGAACCCCCAACAGGGGGCGCACCACCCTTTTTTGTGAAATCACACACGCACAAAAAGATCCAGATGGAGATGATGATAATATCGCTGATTAAAAAATAAGATTAAATGAAAATAACACGCTAAATATGAGAACAATCACTTTCTTATTGTCTGCCCCACCACACAGACACTGTATTTTATTGTATTTTTTTGTTAAACTTGCCTGTCAATCAACGGAGACCTGTCATTCAGAAAATCTAAAAGGCACTTGGTGTTCGAGATGAACAGAAATGTCCTACACTGGAGTGTGGAGAAAAGACAAAGGAATTGTGAGTCACTGACAATGCTGACTGTCACTTCAACTCCAACTAGCCGCCCTTGAGTTGCCTCCATTAGAATTACTGCACACTGGCACAAACAGGACTCAAACACGCCCCCTTTTTAAGGACCACGCCATTTGTGTTTTTTTGATCACAGTATTTGTCCATTTCCTTTTCTTGAATGGCTCATGGCTGGAATGTAACAAAAAAAAAGAGACAATACTAAACGTCCTGTGACATTTTATTGCAAAGAAATGGAAGATCCTCTTTTTAAGTGTATTTTGTGTACATCCCTGTAAATAATGAAAAGTATAGAAGAGCAGAAAACAAAAAAAAATGATTAATAGAGTTTCGGGGGGGATGATGCAAGGGGGATATAGCAGATAATGGCTTTATTACGTGCGTCTGGTCATCCTCTACTGAAATCCAACCCAGGCTTTTAGAAAAAGGTGAAATCAGTGGCCTTTCTACGATCTGATTTCATGTGCTCAGTATCTATGACATCTGTGTGACTGTTTTCAACCGCAGAGGAAAGATGACAGCTTTTCTCGGGGGTTGTTGGTGCATGTGACGTTCGAAGATGATTTCCCCTCCTCATCTGTTTGTCGCATATCTGTCCTTAAGTTTTTGTCACATATTCAGTGACCTGCATCGTGTACAGTCCTTCTCTCTAATCTAACAGTTACTGCTAGGATCATGTTAGCCACCGTTACGACCCCTCCATCCCCAAAGGACGTTCAAGTGAAGCCAAGTGTAAACAGGGTTGTTGCATTTGTTTCATACCACCTGTATTAAAAATGGAGATGATCAACTTAAAATGACTGGTGTGTGATTGTCCTTTTGATACTCAGCAGCAAAATACATGCTCTAGCAGTTGTTTTCTGACACTATGTGGTGCTATAATGAAATAATAATCATTGTTGTAAGTGAGGTCTATGTCTAATTCAACTCTGCTTTTGTGAATGGTAAAAATCTCAATTACTGTGTTTCTCTGTTATATCAGGTTCAGGTTTAGTGGCAGTGGAGGGACATCTCCCAGAATCATTGTTGTCTAAGAGCTTTCAGCAGGTGCATTGTGGATGACAGGACCTATATATCAGGAAAGTACCCAAGCACACTGAAACACCCCAACAGTTTAATGTTACCCTATATACACTAGCTAATTTTGTTAGCCCACATTTGAAATGGTCACATTTTATTTTAAGGTCAAATTCTCTCTAAAAACAAACCATTAACTATGACCTTTGCCTCAATAAACTCCTAATTTGCTGCCTATTAATAGTTAGTAAGGTAGCGGTTTAGTTAAGTTTAGGTATTGGGAATGATTAGGGATGTAGAATATGGTCATGCAGAATATGTACTTAATAAGTACTAATAAACAGCCAATATGTTAATAACAGACATGCTAATAATCAACTTAATAGTGAGAATTGGTCCATATACTAAAGTGTTACCTTTTAAATGTGCCTCTCTGCAGCTTGGGAGCCCATAAAAAAAAAGGATTCTGTTCTATTTTTCATTCAAATATATACAGACTACAGAAATTTAGATGTACACATTTATATGCTTATGTGTTTGTCATAGAAATATAGTGAGGTACAAAAGTCTGTAACCACACTAAAAATCTGTAATCTAAAAATCTAAGTTAAACCTGGAAATAAACTATAAGTTATTTATCATTTGTAATGAATAAAGCAAAAATTCAAGCATGTTTACTAAACTGGGATTTCACCGTATGTGATTCCACAATGGAAGATGGAAGGACATGTCTTGCCCTATTCGATTAATTCAATTTGTGCATTCTTTGTGATTAAAGTTGTTGCTTACCGACTGTTCATATTCTTTGAACACACTGGAGAACTAGCAAACTGTTATCACAGTCGGAGGAATATATTTTCTTTTCTGTGTTTTTGTATAACATGCAGTGATAAATAATCTTGATTGCCTTTATAAAACAAAATCTTTTCCTCTACCTACGGTAATGCTTCATGGGATGGAAGTCATTAGAGAACATTTTTTCAGTTATGAATGCAGCTTAGCACTTGATGGTCTTGTTTAGGTTTGTCCTCTGCCACCCTGGCTCACTCTGGATGTCCTCGTGCAAAGTAATCTCTTTTCTTTTTTACATTCACATGAATTGCAATTTAAGCTTTTCTAGACACACCATGTATTAAAGGATTGGGTCTAAAGCCTAGGTGGGAGATGTGGTTTTATGGGCTTAATAAAATCAGGGAGATAGGCCCCTTGCTATTTCACACTTCACATACTCAAAGGAAAACATATGAGCAATTATGAACTGGTAAAAAAAAATAAAAATACTGATTATGTCATTTACATTTAAAATTATGGTCTTCAAGATTTTCTGGGTCTTGGTTAAATAAAAAAAATTAAAAAATTAATATGTCAGTTACAGTAATGTAAAGTGTATAAACTGTTTTAATATTTCTATTCTGCATGAAAACTCATCCCCATGCTTTCATTAATTGTTTACAAAATTATCACTTGAAAGTTAAATCAGTGTTTAAACATCTATCACATGACATTTTAAAGTGTTTTCAGATTTCACTCTTAATATACTCATTTAATGACTTTAATAATAAAGTGTGCTTGCAGATTTTACCAGTGATCAGTAACCCGAAGTGTAGAAAACCTAATTATATAAGTGCCAAAATAGCCTGTTATCTTATCAGAAGGCAATAGTGGTGATTTACTTTTTTTGGATCCCCTGGAAAATTACATTTCCAGGAATCCATTACGGAGCTCTTGGCATAGTCTATAATATCTATAAATATGCTTAGGTTGCTTTAGTTGTGCTGTAGAAAGCAAAGAAAGTAGCTCACTTGAGTGTCAAGTGATTTTTGGCATAGCAAAGCTAAAGTCCATCTGGATTAATTTGTTCTGACATTAACTTGTTACTTTGACACTCACCATGAGTTTCAGTCTATTATGAATTTCACAATTCTTTTTCCACAGCATGTTGCCAAATGCATTGTTTCTCCAAATCCAAACTCTTCACTTGACACATGATAGGAGGGGCAGAGGGGTAGTAAACCTTTGTGACACATCTGTCAATTATTCAGGAGTAAGCATGCTTGATGGTTTAGGTTTCCTCAGTGCAGCTACAAGACGGCTATCACATTGCAAAACAATGTCTGTGTCAAAAAAGGACACCATTCAGTCTAGCACAGTGTTTATGGGTGTTCTGATCATTTTCTCTGATGGTAAGTCGATCATATTACAGTTGTTAGCCTTACAGGTTATGACATCTTACATTTAAAACAGTGTTCTTTTTTTAAGGGTATGCAAATAATGCCTTTGGAAAATGCAAAGCTACCTCATATCATCTCTCAAAGCCTTGCTAATCAGCAACACTGTTGTCATGCGTTCATGGGAAAGAACTTTGATCCTGTTTGAGCAAACAGCAGCATCCTGGTCATATAGTCTTATGTTTGTAATTGATATAGTCTATCAGCCATCTCCACCTCTTAAGTAAATTACTTTCACCATTCTCACCAGTTGTGTTTGCAATAGCCAGGGTATGTTAGATATTTTCATAGTTAAATAGACTTATCATCAGTTAAAACAAGATGGCATAAACACATAGTCATCACTTAATTCGCAATCTAATTTGCCTGTCTTGTTTTGTTTTGTTAGGTTATGCTTTGTCTGCACTGGACAAAATGTCACCTGTATGTAAGCTAACTTGCTAAAAATTTTAGTTATATATCAATAAATATACGTCAATAAAATGTTAGTTCTTCAAGGAAACTAAAGGGTTAGATAAGCCTTCATAAGCCCCGGTGTCATTTGTTTTCATAGCGATCACCTGCACCAGGTGGAATGATACTGGTCCCCGCCCTCAGAGAACACAGGATGCAAATGCTCTTGTTGTACATATCAGGTTTTTAGTCATCCTGTGGGAGAAGAGACAGCTGACAGTGTGCTTCTGCTTGCAGATACTAAACTACAAACTACACAGGCTGGAATACGTTAGGGAAGTAAAATAAAAATCCAATGTCCAGAGGACCACCATAGATTTCGCTACAGAGATGCCAATTGCAGAATTGCTTGGAATGCACTTTGACATGCAGCTCCTGGGCAAACTGACTCTATCCGTGGCCACCATGTTATTTGTCTCTTTGGTTTTCAGATTCTACAACTCCAGGGCACGAAACAGACGGCGGGGAAGTGAAAGAATTCAACAAAGGGGTGTGCAAGCAACCCGAGGAAGCTACAGTGCCTGTAATACTGAGCAAGAACCACAGAGCAAAGCTGCAAAGGAGGAGTCTGACAGGGAAAATCATTTTCAAGAATCTTCAGAGAAACCCTTGGAAGAAAGCCTTAAAAATGCCAATTCTGCCTTGAAAAGGGGTCAGCCTGAGACTATGGGCTTGGACAGTTGTGTAAAGGAGGAGCCTGCAGGTAAAAGCAACGTAATTGAGGATATAACTGAGGCAAAGAGTGGCAAACCAAAGTTGACCTTACAACTTCCTGGTGTGACCGAAACAGGTCCAGGAAGTCCAAGTGGTCGCCGATCTCCAGTTCTAATGAAGAAGCTGGAAGGTAGCACGGGTGTCGGCAGGCAGCTGAGGCAGGACGTTGGTCACCAGGGCATGTTCTCGAGTTTTCAGTCAAAGGCAGAAATCAAAGTAGAGAATGCTGACCTTATCTTGGATGGGCCAGGGAATTGTAGAACGGGCATCCATGGAAAGATCTATGAGTACTACGTGGAGTCCTCATCTCATTTCATCTCAGATTTAAGCCCCACCCGGTCTGTCAGTTCGGTCTATGGTCAAAACGAAAACAGCACTTCACAATCATTGGATTTACCCGGTTTTAAAGACTGCTCCCGAACGCCAAGTCCACAGCCTTCTAGTTTCATAATTAGAGATCTTGAAATTGCTCCACGAATTACTAACGAGCCTCCCTCGTTAGCGGGAGGCCTCCCTCGTAAACCGGAGAATGTGAGGTACAGCAGGCAAGTAGTCATCCGTCAGGACAGCTATCTTACTGCTGCTAGTGACTCAGAGCTTCCAATCCCCTTGCCTACACAGAGGGCTTTAACACCTCGCAGCTGTTCTCCAGCACAACCCAATGACATCCCTTCAAGCCCATTAGACTCTGATATAGCAAACCTGGATGCGCCGGAGGAACCACAAGTCAAAACTGTCGCCGGAGCAAAATTCTTACACTTTCCAGAGAACATGAGGAATGCAGAACTCGAGAGTCTAGCAGGGAAGCTCGATTTAGGCAACTGCTTGGAGGCTTTAACACTTGCTAAAAAACACGGTCACACTGCCCTTCAGCAAGCTGCTCTCCGTGTCATGTCTGATAATTACCTTCAGGTCCTCAGAGACCCAGGCCTCTTTGGCAGGCTGAAAGCAGGGGAGCGTGATCACATCCAAACACAACGCATGAGAGGAAGGAAGTGGTTAGTGGTCGCAGATATGGATTCCCCGGATTGGAGTAGACGTCCGTCACAGTCTATGTATTTAGAGTCTGAATCAGTTAAGTCGTCCAGTATTTATTACTACGATGATTATAAGGACACATGGCACCTTCACTCCCACATTCCTCAGGAAGTGTTATCTAAAGGTTGTGCCATGTGCACCATGGATAATTATCTATTTATCGCTGTGGGTTTCCAAGGCTCAGACCGTGAAGCGACCCCTTCAAAGAAAGTGTACTGTTACAACCCAATGACTTCAATTTGGAGTGAAATAAGCCCCATGAATGAGGGAAGGCCTCACTGCAAACTCGTGGCTCTGCAGGGCCATCTTTATGCCATTGGAGGCGAATGCCTGTCAACGGTTGAGCGCTATGACCCCAGGACAAACCGATGGACCTTTGTGGCACCTCTTCCTAATGAGACATTCGCCGTAGCTCACAAGGCCACAGCCTGCAATGGTGAACTGTTTGTTGCAGGGGGCACGTTGAGATACACCCTCTTGCGCTATAATCCCAAGACCAACACGTGGCGAGAGAGCATGATTGTGGGCAGTAAGGACAAGACCACAGAAATAGTGGCGGTGAGGAACTTCCTGTATCGTTTTGACGTCAGTCCCCTGGGCATCAGCGTGTATCGTTTTCACGCAGTGGCCCGACTATGGTACGAATGCTCTTCAATACGCCTCCCACATTGCACAGCCTTTCAATGTGTGACTATGGACAATATTATCTACTGTGTGAGCCGTCAATTTACCTTGAGGTTCCTTGCAGATGAGGTATCGCCAAGCTTTGTTGCACAGGATTTGAAAGTGCTATCTCCGGCTAAAGGTATTTTGTTTCCGTTCGTCCTTGTGCTACCCGACAAGACCACTCAACAAACTTGTGTTTAAAAAAGGTCAGATCTTTCAAGAAAAAGGTTGTCTGGTAAGAACAAACACTCAAGACCATATTATGCACATGTTCAAGGAATGTACCTTTTCTTAATTAGTGGCAATTGAGATAAAATATCAAGGCTATTACATCCAATTATTGTACAGCTAGATCACAATTACACAGCATTACTGATAAATAAATCTGCTGTCATAGTGAAGGCTATTTGTTTGTTTAGGCCAGGGGTGCCCAAACTCGGTCCTGGAGGGCCGGTGTCCTGCAGAGTTTAGCTCCAACTTGCCTCAACACACCTGCCGGGAAGTTTCTAGCATGCCTAGTAAGAGCTTGATTAGCTTGTTCAGGTGTGTCTAATTGGGGTTGGAGCTAAACTCTGCAGGACACCGGCCCTCCAGGACCGAGTTTGGGCACCCCTGGTCTAAATCAACCTTTTAATCCTGGAAATGTCTTGTGCAAGTGCTTAAAATGTTTCAGTAAATATACCGTTTTTTGAAACACTGTGTGGATAATGTTAACCAATACTGTGTGTAGAATAAAGCCGAACTGCAGTTGCGGAGCTGGCATCATAAACAACATGAATGGCTGCCATTAGTACAATTTATGTATGCTCTCTAATTATATTCTTTTTTTTTTTTTTTTTTTCCTTTTTGCATTTTTGCAGTTGTTTCTCTGCATATCACACAATTGAATCGTACATGATAGCAGCACATTTTTATATAAAATGTTAATGTTTGTTGTATTATTTTCATGACATTTCCACAAATTTTGTCATCTTGCCACAAGAATGCATTTCCTTTCAGGTCAATGGTTTTACTTGTGAAGCTTCTCTTATTTCATCAAGCATTTTATGTTAACACTGTGTGGTTCTCTGCAAAGACAGTTTAACATCACATGAGCACTTTGGGGAGCCTAGAAGAAACATTTCTTCTCTTTGTGTATTCCATTAAACAATACAGAGAGAACTAATGGCTTAATGGGGATAAGGAAAGAAGAATCTAATGCTTTGCCTGTTCATGCACTTTTCTTTCTATCTTCTGGAGAACTGGGAATAAAATTCTCTCATCTATTATAAGTGAGTCTTGGTTCTTGTGTTAGACTTCAATATATAATGAGGTCTGACAAAATGTGTGTTTGCATTGCAGCAAGAGGCGTTTGTGTGACCAGGATCTTAATTAAATTTAAATGCAATTATGCTGTCAAAAGCAAAGCAATCACATAATCAATTTATGTTAATGAAAGTATACAATACAATCACCGTGACAATCGCTTATGCATATGTGATCAAAGAAAGCAGGCATGCAGAGGAGTGTGTGCTGTGATGCAATTCCCTGTGACGTATCATTTCTCTCCATGTGTAACTCTAGCACCATCATGTGGGGGAGATCTCAAGGTCTGATGGAATCGCAAAAGAACTAATTCACCACACAAAAAGTCAGTGACACAAATGCAAAGACACATAGCTGGAATGTTCCAAAGGCTAGCAGAAGAACACCGTGGGATAAAACCTACACAGCAGGAGAAGTGTGAACAGATGGTTGGACGTAAAATATAGTGTCCAATTCCTTGTAATTAAACACTTTGATTCAACATAATTCAACACTTAATGGGATGGGAGTTATGAAAGTGCCCTTAGAGTATGTCGATGAATGACTCGGCTATCTGAACTAGCACTGTGGTCCAAATGAACTGTTGATTCAATGCGATTTTAGTGCAATAATGAAGCATTGACATATCCTAAAAAAATGTGCAGGTTTTTTGTTGTTGTTTTGGTTAACACCGTTCTCTCTCTCACTCACTAATGTAACCCGCAAATAAACACCAACAAAGAACACAGTCTGACAGATGGAAATACCTGTAAAGCTCAAATATTGATAGACCATTATTATTTCAGTGGGGTTCAAAAGTTTGAGACCATGTGAACTCAGAAGAGCTCCTTGGGTCATCTCAAATCATGCTGGACAACATGATCATCAGGTTTTATACACACTTGTGGAGTTCATGCAGCTCAAGTACTGCTGTCAGTTGCTGCTTTTCACTTTAAATAAAGTGCTGATAATATAATGTAATATAAAACTAATGCATTAAATGCTAAAAGTATTTGGACTAGTGATATCAGACTGTTGGACCACATTGCAGTGTATATCTTTTATTTGACTTTCTGCAAACACAGTGGAATGCTCCTGTTCCTTTTGTTTTAAGTGCCATTGATCAGTAAAACAAGGTATTCCAAGCCCTCTCCCCAGGCTGAGGCCAGTCTGTGTGGTACTGGAGGGCTGAAGGTGGTGAGACAACGGGTAAGGGTCACAGCAGGCTGGCTGGATTAGTGGAGACCTGCCTGCAGGGTCTGGGTTTCAGTGCCAGGTCCTCGTTGCTGTGCTTGGCAGGGTGCTGACTGCTGGAGAAGCGCTTGGGCATGCTGACGTGGTGAGAATAACAGAAGGCGCTGATGGGGTGCAGAGGGTATGAAGCCCTATACTCGCTTAGTGCGGGCACAACTGCCCGCTGTTGTTCCATATGAGCCCGCCAAGACTCTGCCAAGCCAAAATTAGTAGGAGGGCCTGTGTGTAAGAAACAGAGGGAGGCAGAGAGAAAAAAAGAGAGACATCACAAGAGAAACATGTTCAAATAGACTGTGTGGAGTTTCTGTGCCACTACCATTGCAACAGTAAAGTGCAACACTGAAAAGACCACAGAGGGAACAGGGTTATTATCATTAACAAAAACTATTAAAATATTTGTGTTAATTTTAAATACAGCTGTAAATATTAGATGAAAAACTTTAAATGAAAATTAGAAAATTAAAAATTGTGCTGAAGCACTAGAATTACTAGAATTCCTTCTAAATATTAATAAAACTATAAAAGAACATACCAAAATCAGCCTATGAATGGCTTACTTGTAATATTTTTACACTGAAAAAAAATTTATTAGCGTTAAATGAATAGTTAACAAAAAATTGAGCTGTTAATCACTGAAACAGTATCAAACCAACAACTTAAACTTGACCAATTTGATTCATTAACGAATCACTAGATTCAATAGATTTATTAATTTGAGTCAAACAAACTCTGACTAAAAAATATTTGTTTATCAGCCAGACATTGTTACATTTCTAATAAGATTTCACGAGAACAGAGTGATTCACCATGTTTTCCTCACACAAAGCTATAGGCTAATATGAATCGTGAGAATCATTCATTTCTTTGTCTTTTTTTAATCTTAAAATAGAAATGAAATCATATGGGTTTGGAACAACATGACAGTGAGTAAATGATGACGATTTTAATTTTTGAGTGAACTATTCATTTAAATCACCCACTGGCAAATAATAGACATCAATTTCTCATTCACATTTGCCGCAGTAATTTTCTGTCTATGCTCAAATAAAAAAATAAATGAAGACGCTGGACAATAAAAGCCAATGTGTTAATATAACTGATATCCATAATGATTTACAGGGATGTTTTCCGAGATTAATTCAAAACGCAGACTGAATTGCATTAAAACCCATCTGGAGTCAAGGGAATGCTTAATACCTTGGATTGGGTGATCTGACCTCTCTGGGAGCCCAGCCAGTTTGAAAGAGTACCAGGAGTGCAGTGTGGGCAGAGAGGAGGAGGCCTGCCGCCCGTACGACTCATCATAGAGTGTCACCAGACAGTGGGAGGAGGGGACATCATGATGAGAAAATAACTGCCTTAAGGGAAGACCCTAAAGCATGGATTAAACCCACAGACATGGTTTATCAGACCAGTGAAGGACAGAACGGATCATTCACAATGCACAACTTAATATACATGGCTTGATAGTTTATATATTTATATATATTATATATCTGTTATTTGACTGACTGTGCATAACCACACTGCAGGGATGATGTATTTTTGTAGGCAAAACCTGAGTTTTTGTTCAAGTTTTGCACTTCCTTCCAAGTTTATCATCCTGAAATCACTGGATTGTTTGAATGAGTTTAAGAGAGTGTAAGAGGCATAAACTTTTGTTGGTGACAGAGCTTATTTTTTCTGCAATAATCCAAAGGTCAATGGAAAACCCTTTTTTTTTTTTTTTTTGAGGGAACCAGAGTGATGCTAACTTCCGGTCTGGCCTACAAAAATACACTGCAGCTCTCTATTATACATGAAAGTCACCAAATAAAAAATAACTATGTGGGACAATACTGATTGTTAAATTATTTTTGAATTTTACCCATATATTATCTTTTTTTTTTTTTGAGAACAATTGTTTTTATTAAATAGTTAGAACCTGTATATTATCTTTAAAAAAGCCTAGAAGTTAAACACTGTACCAATATTACAGTAATATGTATTAATGTTAATAGTATTGATTAATGTTTTTTTTAATAAGTCCTCATTTTCTCTACAATCAATAAATCAGATTCAAAATGGTGCTAGCTGCAAAGTCGCACTGGTTTTTGTTTCCCAGATGAGTGGTCTAAAATACGACACTATATAATATATATATATATATATATATATATATATATATATATATA